TTGATCCGGCAATTATGGAGCAGCTACAAAACAAGGATGACCGCATCGTAGCTTTGGAGAACCAGAACGCCACAATTCTTACCCAGAACGAGACCATACTTGCTAGGATGCAAGATCAGCAACAAGAAGTGGAGGAAACGAAGAAGAAGAACCAGGAGTTGTTGGATATGATGCGACGTCTGTTCCCGCATGAGTTTTAATCGGTTTTTATTTGTTTTTTAAAACTTTGTATTCTACTTTTAAAACTTAAAATATTATCAGATGTTTTTTTATTTCAATTTTAGTTTATATTTTAAATTAATTATTATATAAATATTTATTAAAAACAATTAATTATTTTTTATTTTATTTTTTTTAAAAAAATAGGAATTTCCGAGGAAGAGCATCCCTCGGAATATTCCGACGGAACGTTTCCTCGGAATATTCCGACGGAACGTTTCCTCGGAATATTCCGACGGAAAGTTTCCTCGGAATATTCCGACGGAAAGTTTCCTCGGAATATTCCGATAGAACGTTTCCTCGGAATATTCCGAGGGATGCTCTTCCTCGGAATATTCCGATGACTATCTCCGTCGGAATATCCATCGGAATATCCCGAGGAAGCAGCCGTCGGAATATTCCGAGGAAACGTTCGTCAGAAATATTCCGACGATTATGTCCGACGAAGTATCCGTAGGGATTGTCCGATGGAACGTCTTCCCTCGTAATTTCGTCGGAATGTTGGTCCATCGGAAGTCGTCGGAATTTCGTCGGACACACCGACGAAATTCCGAGGAAATATTTTTTTCCGACGAAAAAATTCCGACGACCTTTTCCCTCGGAATGTCCTCGGAATACGTCTATTCCGACGATATTCCGAGGAAATTGGCCCTCGGAATATCGCTGTTTTCTTGTAGTGAGTAGATGGTAGTTTCCCAGTCAATTGGTTCGACGAAAGATCAAGAACTCGACGTTTAGTCAAGCTGGTTAAACATAAGGGAAACTGACCTACAAGGTTGTTTTGACTTAGATCAAGCTCTTGTATAGTTTTCAGTTGGCAAATCCCTGCGATGGTCAAATGCAAAACTTTCATTTTCATTATTAACGTGAATTCACTACCAGTGTTAAAAGTTAAAAGAGATATTTGTGAGGACATGCCTTTTATTCCCAGCGAGCAAGAAAAATGATTACCACTTAGATCTAAAGCTTTCAGTTTCACCAGGGTAGATAACTCTGCCACAAGATAAAGCCTCACAAAAAGGTTAACCTCATGAAGATATTAACCCAAAAAAGCAAGCATTAATGGATATTAGTTTTTTGAGCTACCTTGTCCTGGTATGGAGCCACTGAAGCCGTTACTACTCAGGTCAAGCAATTCCAAGTTTTTCAAATCTTTAAGTTCTGAAATGGTATCGACCAAACAAACATACATCATAAAAAAAACTGGTCCTTCTAAAGCTAGTTACAAAACGGAGAAACATATATACCTTTAATAGGAAAAGGGCCATCCATGGAGTTGCGCCGAAAAAATATAGTCGTAAGTGATGTAGCAGCATTAAGAAAGGGAAGTAAGCTGTTGTCGAATACATTTAAAGAGAAATCAAGAACCTCCAAGTTTCTTAATTTCCTTAGGCTTTTATAACCTGCAAACGAGAATATAACTAATCATATAGTGATTACATACCCCACTCCAAGCACATAATATCATTCTAATGTGATGTAAGTTGTTGGGGTCAAAATCGGTACGACGGAATCAATAGCCAAAACTCCCCGCAAAAATACAAAAGGTATAGTTTTATAAAACCCAAGGAGTCATTTTATAAAACTCGAAGTCATTTATGAAACTCGCAGACCGTTTTGTAAAACTCAAAGAACGTTTTATAAAACTCGAGAAGCCGTTTTATAAAACTCGAAGAATCGTTTTATAAAACTCGAGAATCGTTTTATAAAACTCGAAGAATCGTTTTATAAAACTCGAGAATCGTTTTATAAAAATCGAAGAATCATTTTATAAAACTCGAGAATCGTTTTATAAAACTCAAATAATCGTTTTATAAAACTCAAGTATCGTTTTATAAAACTCAAAGAATCCTTTTCTAAAACTCAAAGAATCGTTTTATAAAACTCGAGAATCGTTTTATAAAACTCGAGAATCGTTTTATAAAACTCGAGAATCGTTTTATAAAACTCGAAGAATCGTTTTATAAAACTCAAAGAATCATTTTATAAAACTCAGAGAGTCGTTTTATAAAACTCGAAGAATCGTTTTATAAAACTCGAGAATCGTTTTATAAAACTCGAAGAATCGTTTTATAAAACCCGAGAATCGTCTTATAAAACTCGAGAATCGTTTTATAAAACTCGAGAATCGTTTTATAAAACTCGAAGAATCGTTTTATAAAACTCGAGAATCATTTTATAAAACTCAAAGAATCGTTTTATAAATTTCAAAGAATCGTTTTATAAAACTCGAAGAATCGTTTTATAAAACTTGAGAATCTTTTTATAAAACTCGAAGAATCGTTTTATAAAACCCGAGAATCGTCTTATAAAACTCAAAGAATCGTTTTATAACACTCGAAAAATCGTTTTACGAAACCGCAAAAAACTGAAACAGCCGTAAAACGCGAACTAGGAGACCGTTGACTAGTTCGCCCACCGGCGAACTAAGCCAAGCTGGCTTAGTTCGCCCACCGGCTTAGTTCGCCGTTGGACGAACTAGAGACTTCCTGGACGTCCCGAGCCTCGATCTCCCGCATCCCCGATTCGAAACTTACGTCTTTTGACACGGTCGCATTCTGAACCACGGCCGAAATGTCTCCCGTTCCGTCTCGATCCGACCTATCGTTCGAGTTTTACGATAAAAACCATAAAACTTCGTTTTGTCGACAAAGAACTCGAGGAAATCGTATAAAACGGCAACGGTTAAATGAAACACCGAACATTGCCTAATGTATACGATTTATTCGAGATTTCTCGTTAAAATCGTAAAAAACACATTTTTAATAAAAACGTCGAGTAAATCGTAAAAAACGCGTTTTTAATAAAACGTCGAGTAAATCGTAAAACCTTACGATTAGCTCGAGGAATTTACCAAAAAACGGCACCAGATCAGGAAACGATCCCGTACAAAGTCGGAAAACGGATTTATCGCAGAACGGCCCGAAAGGTCCTAAAACGCGATAAAAGCCAATCTCGCGATCTTAACGGAATCTAACCCGAAGATACGATAACGTTTTGACGGTTTACTCGCAGGAGGAAATTAAATGTCAAGCTTAAAGATAAAAGGCAGGTTTGAAGAAAAATAGAAGATTTCTGCAGAAGAAAAGGAACGATCGAGAAAAATGGAAGATTCCCGATATACTCAAATCTGGGCGAAATGGAAAGACCAAATGGCCAAGGCGAGGAGTATATAAGTAAGAGGTCTAAGGCAGAAGCAAGGGACACGATTTTCAGAGCTCTCACCACCAGAAATTAGCATTTAGGAATATTTCCGTTTTCTGTTAGCGAGCTGCGTCTCAATTAGGGTTTTTCGTTCTTAAGCTTTTCGGCAACTCTTTTTGTACCAGTTCTACGCAGATTCGGAATAAGAACCTCTTTGCTCTTGATTTCGTTTATTCAATTTTAAATTCTAAGTTTATCCTTATTTTAATCTTCGTTGTGCGGTTCTGCAGATAGCCGGTTCCTCTGGAAACTTAGGGTTTTCCCGAAGTTTCCTTATTTACGATTTATTGACAGTAGGTGGATTTCGATTCTCACAGTTTGGCGCTAGAAGGAGGGGGGGGGGGTCGGATCTATCTTACACCGAAGCCGCAACATGTCCAACGAAGAAACGATGACTGGTGACAACCAAACTCGCAACGAACGCGATAACGTTGAAACACCACCACCACAAGGAGCGTCTGCGGCCAACGCTACAAACGCTAATGCCGAGACCCTCTACAAGATGCTTTCCGAGTTTAACAAAAAATCGGAAGAGCAGGAAAAACTCATTGGTTTGCTCGCGAAACGGGTAGAGACCCTAACCGCGAAAACCCGAGCAATTCGCCCCCGCAGAACTACTAAGATCCGCGGAAGGAGGCTCGACTTTGGCGCTCCTACGGATCGTCCCAGAACCGAGCAGGGTAACTTACCGGAAAAGAAATCCGGAAAAGACAATCCTAACGCGACGCTAAACGAATCGGAGAAACCTCCTACTCACGAACAGGAGACCGAGGGCGACGGCATCGAAAGGTTTAACCTGGAGACAAGCGACCAAGCCGATTCATCGGACGAAGACGCTGACGTCCATCCTAGGAGAAGAAAGACTCGAAGTCCTCTGCCGGAGTCTTCTCCCGAACGTTCTTTTACTAGAGACGAGGGGGAACTCGACTTCGCGCAATACACAAAAACCGCCGAGGAGCGATCTCCAGTCACTCGCAGCAAACGCCGACAAGGTCAGTAAACTGCTGGCGGTCTGACCGAGATGCGCGATCTCCGCGAATATATCACCAAAACGGCCGCAGCGGTAAAAGCGGTGAAATCTCAGATTCACCACGCTACCAGCGCCGCACCCGAGATTGATCGGCTACTGTACTAGTCTCAGAAAACGCCCTTCACGGCCCGCATCACCGAGATCAAACTGCCCGATCCCGGAAAACTTAAGGTGCCGACTTACGACGGGACGTCCGATCCCAAAGCGCACCTACAAGCGTTCAAGATCACCATGGGACGAGCCAAGCTCAAGGACCATGAAAAAGACGCAGGCTACTGCCGCCTCTTCGTCAAAAACCTAGAAGGAGCCGCGCTCAAATGGTTTGCCAAACTTAGGCGAAATTCGATCGGAAGCTTCCGTCGACTGGCTTCAGAATTCCTGAAGCAGTATTCGATGTTCATTAACCCGGAAACCTCCGACGCCGACCTCTGGAGCTTGGTGCAGAAGGAGGACGAATCTCTCCGCGATTTCATGAGCAGATTCAAACTCGTCATGGCTAGGGTTAGCGGAATCAGCGACAAAGCCGCCATCGACGCGTTAAGGAAATCGCTCTGGTATAAATCGAAATTCCGCAAGTGGATAACTCTCGAGAAACCGCGGACGATCCAGGATGCGCTCCATAAAGCCACTGACTTCATAACCATCGAAGAAGAAACTAAAATCCTGTCCGAGAAGCACAAGCCGACGAAAACATCCGCGAAGGATAACGCATCCGAGCAGAAGCAGAAAAAGAGGAACTCTCGTAACGACAAATTCGTCCATCACGAGGGACATGATCTCTGAGGGGCACATAACTACGCCATCAACTCCGGTTCGGAGCAAGGGCGAACTACGGGTAACACGTGGACGAGAAATTCGAATTACGACGAGAATTCTTTCTGCGACCTCCACCAAACCCGCGGGCATTCCACCCTGAACTGCAAAGTTCTCGGCGCCATACTTGCCGCAAAATTGGTCGCGGGAGAACTTTCCGAGATATCTAGTGTCAAGGATCTCATCCGCGATTTGGATCGCCTTCCGAAGAACGACAGGATCGCGCGAGCAGAAACTCCGTCTCAGGGAAACCAGTCAGGCGAAAAACGAGGACGAAGACAAGACGAGAAGGGTAACGACGCTAACCGCCGAAATATCAACATGATTATCGGCGAATCGCAATACTACAACGACACCGTCTCGTCTATAAAATCCTACCAACGTAAAGCCGAAACCGGCTCGAGTTGGAAGGTGCCGACGGATGACTCTCCGAAAAGAGTGATCTCATTCGACGACGCTGAAACCGGCGGAATCGACCAACCTCACGTCGATCCTCTCGTCATCGACTTAGCAATAAGCGATTTAGAAGTCGCTCGGATCTTGGTCGATACCGGGAGTACTGTCAACGTGATCTTCCGCAACACGCTAGCACGCATGGGAATCGATCTCTCGGAAGTCGAGCCGATTCCAAAACCGCTGACTAGTTTCTCCGGTGAGACATCAATGACCCTGGGATCAATCCGATTACCAGTCGCCGCAAAAGAAGTGACGAAAATCGTTAACTTCGCGGTAGTCGATTTCCCGGCTATCTACAATGTAATCATGGGCACGCCTTGGATAAATTCCATGAAGGCGGTTCTGTCCACGTATCACTTAGGCATCAAATTCCCGACGCCTACGGGAGTCGCGGTAATTTGGGGATGCCAAAGACAATCACGATCCTGCTTCTTAGCCGAACATAAGCTAAGGCAATTGGCGGTAGCAACCGTGAAACCAAAACGGGCAAAGGTCACGCCACCGCCCGCAGAAGACGACCCAAAGCAAGCAACGGCCGAGAAACCAGAAGTTTCCGCACCCATCGCTTCCACCCGACCGGAGGAGACAATCCCGGACAAAGACATCGATCCCGCAACTGAAGCGATCGAGAAGTCTGCGACAGCCGAGTAAGCATACTCGCGCAAACAATCAGAACTACGAGATGGCTTGATTTCCGAAAGGAATACGATGGCTTGATTTCCGAAAGGAATACGTAGGCAGCTCGCCTAAAGACGAGTTCAGCTATCCCCCCTTCCAAAACGGGGGGGGGGGGAGTGGGTGAGTATACGAGTATTTGTATACTCCCAATTTTTTTTTTTACAAAATTTCTTTTAGCTTTGTAATCAAAAAAAATTTCGAAATTTTTAATAAAGACAAAGTTAGAATATCTCCGCTACTATCAAAAAACGCAAATCCGGAAACTGTAAATCAGCAACA